GCACCAAACCAATCCGACACAAGTAGTTTCTCCCATACATTATGTTAGTAAGATTGCAATTTTTGTCCATTAATTTAGATTTTTTTTTTCATCTTTGTTCAATAACTTATTGGGCGGATATTAATTCAATAACTCTTCAATTTTACCTAAATTGGCCCAATTTCGATCCCTAGAATATGATAATTATCTTTTTTCAGAAATTACTTTTAGATTTGAGTCAATTTGGTCTAAATATATATATATATATGGTCTATATATATATATATATATATATATATATAATAAGAATAACTATTTACTAGAAATACTAAACAAATAAATCAACCAAAATTAATTGCATACCCTTTTGGGAAACTTCTTGAATTTCTTTACAATAAAATCATGCAGCATTAGATCTATATATATTGAAAAAGAGAGGTCAATAAATCATTTGAGGAAACTTTTAAAAAATTGGTCAACAACCCTATTAACTTTCCATTTGTAGAAACCAATTTAAAAATCCTTTCAAAATATCTATTTTTTTCCTTGTTTTTTAGGTAACAATGTCGCGTTTTAAAAATAATCCCATATTTATAAACTTTATTTTCGGAATCAAAGCAGCATTTTAGCAAATCTGATATATTTTGGAAACAACGCCGTGTTTTAGTATATCATATAGGTGTTACTTTATTTTATGTGCTATCAATAAAAGTTTGGTACTAAACTAATAATGGAGATTCTTTTACTTTTTAATTAGCAATAGATAATAAAAAAAGTAATATGTTTTTATATAAAAGATTCAATATGTTATTTAGAAAAATAAATACATATAATTATAACTTTATATATGGTTGCGCCAATAAGGAACAATTTTTGTTTGTTATACAAAAATAAAAACATTTGTACTATAAATTAGATCGTATTTAAAGGTTAGCATGCATTTTTAACAAATAATATGATTTTTTAAAATCATTATATTTTAAATTTTGTCATAAATACATTGTTTATTAAAATCCTGTAACACAATTTATAAAATTTGTTTAATTTTAATCAATTATACTAATAATAATAATAATAATAATAATAATAATGATAATATACATCTGCTTATTATAAATTCAAAAATTAAATCTACAAATGTAAGACATCACAAATAGTTTTGAATTCGCCTTTTAATTTAAAGGTAAAGATACCATGATATATAGATACCCTAATTTTGTTTTCTTTTATATTGTTAAATATAAAATTCAACACACATTGGGTAGAACCAAATTTGTCGAAAAATTTGATGATGATTTAAAAAGATAAATACACGAAAATCGTGGTTTCAAACTCTGTCGATATGATACACCATTATATAAATTCGTTTATTTTAAATTATTCATTTAATTTAGATCAATATTAACCCAACTATGTAGATACCATAATTGCGTGTTGTTTAATATTGTAAAATATTCAACACGTTTTAATCCTAAGCAGATTTAGCGCAAAATTAGAGAAAGATTCTACAAGATAAATACAAATGTACAATTCCACAAGATAAATACAACATTTGAGAACGGTTCTACAAGATCTCTACACGTTTTAAATAAAACAATCAATGAGAATGGTAAAGATTTTTATCACTGTTATATCATTCGGTTTACTATTGTCCAAATCATGTAGAGATTTTTTTTCTTCTGTTATCTCGATTTTTTTGCGTCTTTTATGGTGAGAAACTTATCTTTTGAAATCATCATATGTATAAACAAACGCATTATGGAATATTTACCATATTATTTAGTATTTTTACTTTTTACTATAATAATATTAAGCAAACATTTTTTATGTCACACGATTTTGTGTTATAAATACCCAAGCAAACATTTTTTATGTCACATTATAACTTTCAATATATATATATATATATATATATATATATATATTATACAATTTAGTGTTTTTAATATTTTAAACATACATGTTTAATGTTCTTTTAAACAAGATAAAAAACTATAAAAATATTAGTGAATATTATTTAGCTAATCAAGTATAATCGATATTAAAATGATAAACTAACAACTCATTTGTCGAACTGCCATATAAATTATCATATTATAAATAGATCCATCTTAAACTTCTATTTAAGTTCTAGCGACACCAATTTCTTCTGATTTTGGGGTTCCATTAAACAGTCAAGGTCAATCTTTTTGTATAAAGAATATAGAAATTTTAGTGAATATTATTTAACTAATCAAGTAATCGATATTAAAATGATAAACTAACAGCTCATTTGTGTGACTGCCTAAGTAAATTATCATATTATAAATAGATTCATCTTAGGATTCCGTTTAAGTTGCAGGAGCACCAGGTACTACTAATTTTAGGGTTCCATTTAAGAGTCAGGGCCATTCTTTATGTGCGGTAGCATATTATTAAAGAAATTGGTTCTTAGCCACGACCAATTATATGTTGTTGTTTTACGTGTAAGTAATAGATAAGAGATGTGCATTGACATGTTCTTAAAAAAATCGGTTTTGATCACGACCAATTATATATTGTTGTTACGCGTGTAAGTAATAGATAAAGAAGAGTCAAAGTCAGTCTTTACTATACGCTGGCATGTTCTTAAATAAATCGATTTTTAGTGACGGACAATTTAGTTTGTGGGGACGACGAGTTGCTCAGTTATTAAACAAATAATGTTGTGTACAAGAAAGTTTTTAATAATATATTTTTTTTTTCATGAGTAAAATTTTATTATTTGACAATTTCCTTACAAATTATCACTTTTTTATTTATTAATACATTTCAATTCCCCAAAATAAATACAGCTCGTGCATCGCACGAGTTACATACTAGTTCTCCCTTAAATGGTGAGTTTTGTTCAATTCAGATTTGGAAATTACGACTATGTTAAAATGAATTTGAAATATAAAATTTCTTTTCATTTTAGTTTCAACAAATAACACGTGTAATTAACAACTTTTAAAGAATACTTTTTTAATATCTATTCAGTCAAAAGTTCTTTTTAAATAATAATTTTAAATATCTATTCCGTCAGATGCAATGTAAGAATAAAAAAATTTATACTTAAAGCAAATTTTTTATACATTTGCTCAATATCACCTCAATATTTATTTTATATACTCAAACCAATAATATCACACATTTCGTCATGATGTTTTACAGTCACTCAGACTCGATTTCGTCACCAACTCAAAAGTCCACCATCTAAGGTCCGTCAACAGCAAGAACACACACATCAACCTCTTCGCCTGCACCAACGTCCGCCTCACCCAACTCCGCATCACGGCCCCAGCCGACAGCCCCAACACCGACGGCATCCACATCGGCTCCTCCGAAGCCATCCGCATATCCGACTCCGTAATCCGAACCGGCGACGACTGCGTCTCCATGGTCTCCGGCAGTCGGGACATCGGCATCTCCCGAGTCGCCTGTGGGCCCGGCCACGGGATAAGCATCGGGAGCCTCGGCAAGGGCCACGAGAAGGAGTACGTGGTCGGGGTACGGGTCGCGAATTGCTCCTTCACGGGCACGGATAATGGGGTCCGAATCAAGACGTGGGCCCCATCCCAGTCCAGCCTGGCGTCCAACATCACGTTCGAGGATATATTCATGAGGTACGCGCGGAACCCAATCGTCATCGACCAGCAGTATTGCCCGCATTCGAGCTGCATGGAGGTACTAGGGAATTTATTTTTTTTGCGGGAAAATTGCATATTGATACACCATATTTCACGCTTTTGTAATTTAATCACCACTTCCTTCCTGTGTAATTTAGCAATTTAATAGTTTACCATATTTCCAAATCGAATCATCATGATTGACGGCTCGAGTTACAGAAATTTGTTTCCGTCGATGTCGTGCCGAATTTCTGTAACTGGAGCCGTCAACCATGATTCGATTTGCAAATATGGTCAATGTGGTGTATTAAATTGACAAATTACAAAGGTGGCGATTAAATTGCAAATATGTCGGACCGCACGGTCAATGTTGATTTTGTCCCTTCCAAATGTCTTAATGACGATGCGTATTCTCATTTTATTTATTTATTTCGTTTTCTCAAAATACAGGGCGTTAGTTCGGCTGTGCAAGTGGAGAATGTGATGTTCAAGAACATTCGCGGCATCTCACAAACAAAAGTAGCTGTAAACTTACTGTGTAGTGGTACGCGGCCGTGCAAGAACATTAAGCTGGTGAACATAAACCTTTCGTATATGAACCGTCGAGGACAGGCAACGGCCCAGTGTTTAAATGTATTTGGTGCTTCCTATGGACAACAAATCCCAGATGGCTGTTTGTAGTGTGTGTGTGTCTCTTGCTTTTCTCTCCTTTTATCACTTTCTTTTAGAAAACTTGCAAGTTTTTTTTCTGTTTCCGTTGAAATGAAGAACTTTCGATTTGCAGAGTTGCTAGGACTGTTAAAATATGCAAAAAGATACTGTGGAAATATATTTATCTCAACTCACATTGAGAAAGTAATTCATAAATAGTCCTATCTGAGTTTGAAATTATTCTATTTCATACAATAATGGTACAAATATTGATGAAAATTATGTTTAGATAATGCAAATATACATGCCATCTTGTACTTAAATGGCTAAAAATTTCAATCCAGCCAATGAAGATTCCAAGAGAATACAAACGCCCATAATACATTCAGATGCAAAATTATTGGAAACAACTAAAGTTAGTCACTAAAATTGGGTTCTTTCCCAAAAAAAAAAAGTATCAAAAAACACATCAGAGGAACTATGTTAACTGTAGACTTTATGGGGCAAAGTTGAAAAAAAAAAAAAAATCTTTGAAAGAAAATTACATTTATTCTCTTTGAAATTTGAAGATTTCACAAGCGCACACATATTTTTGTGCAATTTTTCCCTTTCTCGTGTTGTTTTATTTGTTCATACCTTAGGATGGATATCCTTTAATCATCACATAGGAAAACAGAGGTTGAAATCAATGCCTTGCAGCTGGTTATTTTCCATACTCGTATTGATTAATAATTATAACTTAAGATACCTTTCAATTACATATGAAAACAGAGTTGAAATCAATGTATGAGGCTGCTTTTTTTCCATTAACGTGATGATTAATAATTATCACCTAGGGATACCCTTTGATCACATAGGAAACAGAAAAATTAACATCAAAGTCTTGAGACTTCTCTTTTCATGAATGTAAAAGATATTAATCCTTAGAATTCATATATAAATAACCACAAGTCACAAATCTCTGATATTCAAGGAGATTATGATGCTCTAGGATCATGATTGCTTGAAGATATTAAGATCAGCACAAAATCTTCTCAAAACTCTATTTCGATCTTGCTTTTGACACAACTTAATTTACACGATAAACGCGTAAACTACACCATTGTAAGAGAAGTGGAAGCCTGTAACTTCAACTAAAAAGACCTGAAAGTTAAGGAGCCATGAAAGCTAGTACTCATATTCTGGCTCTTTATTTTCGCTCGCTTGTTTTGGTACTCTTGCTCGGCCACGTATTTTCCGTCAAGAAGGTAAACATATCTGCAGACGCACTGACACCAATTTATTTTGATCAACAATTTTTCTTTAACACGTTTTACGAACTGATGTTATTTTCCTTGATGTTAATTTACTAATGCATATCTGCAGCCACTATATCCCTTTTTTTTTTTTTAACCAATTTATCTGCAGCCTAGCTCACTGACAGCCTAATTTTCCTTGATGTTATTTCTTTTAATTTTTCTTGGTCCCGTTGTATAGTCATATGTGGTGTACTTGGGAGGTCATTCACATGGAAAAGAAGCCACACAAGCAGATTATGATAGAGTCACTCAGTCTCGTTATGACTTTCTAGGGTCATTCTTGGGAAGGTACATAAGTGAAGTTTGTGCAGAAATCATGAAGATAAAAATGGAGTTTTGTAGTTCAAATTTCTCATTTTCTTGATGAAAAAATTGATCCATTACTATATTCATTCTTTTTGTACAGTAGAGACAAGGCCAAAGCTGCCATTTTTTACTCTTACACTCGACACATCAATGGATTTGCTGCAACTCTCGAAGAAAATGAAGCACTTCAAATATCCATAGAGACAAGGCCAAAGCGCCTTTATTGCTTTTGTAGGTTTAGTTCAATTAATACGAGAATCATCACAATTTAATTCCTGCTCCTCGTGGGATCGACCCTTACTCGCCGCTACTACTAGTTAGTAGAGGTTTGTTAAGGAAAAATTATAAATTTAAATTTGCCGCGTCGCGACGCACGGTCAAATTTTGGCGCCGTTGCCGGGGAGTGGCGCAATTGAGTTGTGATTTTTTTAGTGTTAGTTGAATTAGGTAATTAGATTAGTTTTTATTTTATTTTATTTTATTTTATTTTTTTTCTTTGACTCATTTAATCCCCTATTTTTGTTTTTTTTCTTTTGGTTTCATTTGCAGGTGGTATTCGTTATAGATGGATACGTATTGGAGCCCAGATTGTGCTTATGCTTACGAATCATATTATGAAATGAAAAGGAGGGAAATAAGAGACCAACATCGCGAGGCTAGGATGTCGGCTATGATCCAAGAAGCCATTGAGAGTGTTCGTCAAGTTCTAAGGAAACCATGTCGTCTGTGTCATACCACACATCACGTCACCGACGATTGTCCAATTTTGATCGAGAGGTATGGTGCACGCAGAGCTACCGAGAGAGATTGGTATCGACAAGACGATTGGGCCTATTCAAATTTCGATAGGGACCATTACGGTTGGGGAGATCGTGGAAATTCATTCTATGAAAATCCACAATACTCCCGATCGTATGAGCCTATTTATGAGCATGACGAATCTCAATTCCAATATAGAGGCTCCCAATATTTTTCAGAACCTTCGCTTGAACAAGAGACTAGTCCATCGTTGATGAAGTTACTTGAAGAGTGTCAAAATTCTTTGATGGCTAGTAGCAAAACGATTGGTGATCTATTGAGCGAATTGGATGCCCGAGCCAAGAGTCGGCTAGCCGAAGCCAGCCACGATGATGACGGAGAGCTTAGGATGAGCAGCACGGAGCTTGAGGTGCTGGACGAAGTTAGCTTTGAGCCGATAAACGATCGAAGCGACGAAGAGAATGAAGAAGAAGGCGATGAGGAGCAAATTTTCGCTGTTACCGGCCCCCCCGATAAAAACCTGGTAGCATTTACTACTGCTATCGGGGCCCCCGATAACAGCCCACTCGAAGGTGACAATGACGTAAAAGCTCCGACAATTGCCCCGAGCATGACTGAAAATCAGTCTCTTCTATTCGAGGTCAAACAACCAGCAATCGAGCACGCTGAAAATCAAAAGCCTTACATCCTGGAGGTAGTAGAGATTTTTCCTCTTATCTATGAGCCCGGGCTAATCTTTTACCATGATCATTTGCCACCTAGACGAAAAGATCCGGTTAAGCACCCGACACCATACGAGGGGATCCTTAATAAGCATGGAGCTGTAAGGTTCATGCCTCCTTTGAGGCCACCTATGAAGCCGCCACGGACCGCTTGAAGAAAGCGGAGCAATAAGTCGAGCCAACGACAATAAAAAATAGCGCTTGTTGGGAGGCAACCCAATGGTGTGCGACGTGACTTCTTCTCTTGATAAGGTGAACTCTTTCCTTTTACTTTGTATTTTGTTCTATTATGTGCAAACTCTAAGTTTGGGGAGATTCATTAGAGTGAGATATATTTGTGTGAGTTGTTGAGTTGTGCTCTATTTTATATATTATCTTGATTTGCTGGAGTATATGTTACTTGTATGTGGAATTTTGCGATGATGAATTGAGTGTCT